AACCTAAACGTAACCGTGTGTATAATATGCGGCGAAATCCTCAGCACGAGACCCTCAAACTACATGTAAGTTAAATGGCGCGGAGCAAACGTCGACAGTTTTCCACACCGGGTCATGCATAATTCAGATAACTGCTGCAGAAGGCCTCCTCCGAATTCGGGGCCCGTCAAAACTCTAGGTATCAAGATTAATAACATGGTGATAAATAACCAATATGAACTTTGGTATACGAGAGAAAAATAAGTGAAAAGAAAACGTGGAAAACTGGATAGACGAGAGACGACGATACCAAGACCTCGAATGATTTGGATAATGAACTATTTTTTTTTCCATTTCTGCTCCGACTAAAAATTTGTTTGTTTGTTTGCTTTTTATTTTCTTGGACAGAATAACAAATCACATAGTCTTGATTTAAAGTTCAAACAAATTCAATGTTTTTTTTTTTTGTATAGTGTTATATTATTTTTATAGGATTAAACTTAATTACAGGTTCGCTCAATTATGTCACGATTACGTACATTATTGACAAATAATAATAATAATAATGTTAGTACAATGGCCTTAAAAGCTTCTTACAGCGGCAGTCAGTCGCATTTACTCTAAAAAAATTAAAATAAAATAAAATAATATGGTTACATTTCTTTGAAGTATTCCGAAATAATCAAAATTGATTCGATTTTACCAAAAAAAAAAAAATACTTTTCTTAAAAATAAACGTAACACAAGGTGATTTGTTCAGTATGTTCACCATATTTTATGCTTTAACAATGCATATATTCGAATTCTGATTTTTGGAATTTTTAAATACACTTGACGACCGTATTTCCTAATCCTTGAGATTTTTTGTATCACTTAAGGACGATTTTGATAATACAAATGCCCATTTTGTTATTAAGCAGATACATTTTTTGAGAACTTTAATGTATCTAAATCAAAATTCAAGTTATTAGTTTTTGAATTATACAACTTTGTGTACCTACAAAGTACCGTGATGTAGAGTGAATATCTTTAGGTGGTAATAGATTTAGTAGATATATGGGGGCTTAGAGGATTTGAAAATTATAGTAATTACTATTTATCTATCAATACGAATAATTTGTAAAAATTATCCAAGTATAACGAATAGTACATCTAATATCATATAATAGCTTATATTTGTGTTAAGCCATTTTTAAAGATAATTATATGCTTAAAATAAACATTTTAATAATTTGGAAACTACTCATCAGAATTTTGATTTAAATACATCAATATGTTCATTAAAATGATCTTTCAAATAATTTGCAGTAAAAAAGGGGGATTCTTATTTGAAAAATAAAAGTTTATATTGCCACAGGACATTCCTTAAGTAATACAAAAATTATTAGGAATTTGAAAATATGATTTCTGGTATACTCAAAATTGAAAAAATCAGAATTTAATTAAATAATATGAACAACTATTAAAAGAAAAAATGCTGAAGATCTTACCTAAAAAATCACCTCGTGTATTTATATAGTATTGTACTCTCAAATATCACCTAAAGGCTAGACTTTGTCAACATCCCCCGATTATCCATAAATAAAAGATTAAAACTACAAAAACGTTTAACAAGATTTCAAATTTTAATATTACTACTTAGGTAAAAATAAGATATATGATACTATATTAGTTTAAATAATTAAATGTGTGTATACTTATGGTAATGTATTAAATTAACTATTACACTTGTAATGAAGTCAGATTTTAGTACAATTTGTTATCAGTAGGTATAAGGCGTTATATTTTCATCCTAAATGGTATTTTGAAAATTAAACAATGTTGAACCTAACACACAATAGTATAAATTAGAAAAAATGTTTTTAGTCAATATCATAACTAATTGATTATTTTGTTAAATTATGGTTACTCAACTAATGTAATATTATAAAAAATATTTAAAAAATATTTTCCAATTTATTCACATTAAATGTATGTGTATTACGTACTAATAATTATATAAAATATACAACTTAGGGATAAACAGTTACTTAATGTACGATCAATGATTGATATACTGATAGTAGTTCATTCATATAATGTTGTCATTAGTATTTAATGTACATTTTAAACTAAACCAACATTTATATTATTTTTTTTATAAATATAACACGAACCTATAGTATTATGCCCAAAGTAATATATTTTAGCTTATCGACTAAACATTTTAAAATGTATAAAATATAACTGACATCATAAAAAAATGAAGTGTAAAATAAATCAAATATGGTAAGAAAATAATAATATTATCTTGGTATTACGATGGTATATCATTTGGGCTTATATATAACTGCATAATTGCAGTCTAAAGCTTTAACATGAATTACGGTTCCGTCAAGAATAATGTTCCGCTTGACTTAGTAGGACATTAACGCGATTTCGTGCAATTAATAATATGACAATTTTCAAACTAAATAAACTAAATTGTATGTTGACGATAAGACTAAAATCATTGTTTTACGTAACTTTAATAATATGTTTAATTTCTAGCAATAAATTAACCCTATTTGCTGTGGGCTATGTATATTATTATATAGACTAGATAAATACTGTCATAAGAATTAATATTTTTTTTTAGTAATATAAATGAGTTGTCGAGTATTAACGCTCTTAAGTTCCTGTAAACCTAACCGTATTCTCAACTTTTGAATGATGAAATTATTAGATTATTCTGAACTCTGGTCTTGCCTCACCAACTTTACCCGAACCAGCTTTATATACATATAATGATGGTAAATTAATTTTATTTATTGACAATGGGATCTTTTTGAACATTTTTATTTCTGGAAAAATGTAATACCTTATGCTATTTGAACAAATAATTACACGAATTGTTTATGGGAAAAGTATTTATCAAAAACAAATAGCGGATATAATTCACTCGAATTACAACGTTTTGAACAGACTATTAAGCTGAATGCTTTTAAAATTCATTCAAATACGTATTTAATTAGCTTCACTTAAATATATCAGTGATAACAACTCGAATACTGCAACATCGATGATTTAAATTTAATTTACTCTATATTGTCAGGAATTTTTATTTTAAATGACTGCTTATATTTCTTCAATGTTGTCTCAAACTACTTTAAATTCTAGGAACGGCATATTATCCAAAGTACAATAAATTTATGTTCAATTTTTTTTATTTTTCCTATCTATATTGTAAATAATTTATAGTTTTATATGAAACTTTTTGAGCTTTTCCACTTTTTTTCCACTTGTCTTAAAGTGTTTTCCACAAAACAGCAGATGTCATTATAAAACTAACAACTTCTAGAATCTGACAGTCGTAGAATCCTGAATAATTTATTATAAAATAATATATTTTAATATTATATATGTATATTGAAGTTGATAAAATATGTATAGTTTTAAGTCACATGTTTGTAGATGTTAATGATTTGTATTTATTTGACATTAAAAACAAAGAAATATTAGAACACTCACAATAGAAACATATTAATCGATAACTCTTGGCCAATCATACACAATTAGTATTCGACGATTCGTTACTTAGTTATTGTTATATTATAGTAACTTATTTAGGTTAACCTAAGATACTAAGAGCTTGAATTTTAAATAATTTAAATTTTGGAGTCTAGAAATTCTGAACTAAACTATACTTAGAATCGTTAAAATCCACAAATTCACGTTCTTGCTTCAAAACTATTTCGACAACTCTCTAGTTACGTAGGTTTAAAAAGCAATTCGAGCAAGAGGCCTTTTCAACATAACTCACTCTAACTACGTAGAACATATACGTCTGAGAGGTCACTTAATAAAGTGATTTCCTCCATCTAGTTTATAATACACTGTCTAGTAAGTAATAGGTATGTGAGTTAGGTGCAACAATATACAGTGAACGCGTCTGAATATCGTTATGCGTATTATATGCTTGAACTACTTTTAATAAATCGTGCATTTACATTTCGAAGTAAAATTAAAATGATTAATGCATGCAAAAAAAAAGTTTACTTAATATTTCTCGCATTAATCTTGCTTTTTATGAGACCAGTCGTTTTATATTTTTTGCTCATTTATTCAGTATGCGGATAATTAAAAATAATGTTCATATTGTTAAATCCTTGCGATACACTTTTTATTCGGTTTAGTTGTTGTTGTTGTTGTTGTTGTAGTAGTTGGCTTAATACACTTAAAACCTTTAATTGGTCGAAACAAACTTTTATTTGTTTTTTTTTTTTAATTAATTCCCATAGTTATGACCATAATGTTTTGTGAACAGTACAATATACATTCCAGAATCCTTGAACTTGTGGTCGGACAATCACTTTAAGTTCTCTCTTCTGATTTATTTCACTGTAGACATTTAGTTGGAAATTTGCCATGCACTGATTAAATGATGAGCGTTTTGACCATATTTCAGCATTAAATACCTACCTGTTTACCGCTATAAGTTATAAATGAGAACTATAGGGCAAATAATGTGAACAAGGTGATCAGGCAATATTTTGTATTATAGTAATGGCGTAGTTGAACTACAATAACTAATAATAAACGCTTTATTTAAATGACTATAAATTATTATTTTTATTTAACCATAAATATCATAATCAGCGATAATATATTTTTATACAGTACATACATATACAATGTCATAATATTATCATGGTTCTCTGGTAAAAAAACACTAATCTTAAATTTCTTCAATGATAATAAAACTAATGGGAACCTATAATATTATGGAGTAATACAATATAACAATATGCCAAATCAATTCGGCATGGCAACATATTTCTACAATAATTAACATACACGTAAATATACAACAATGATATAGGTATAGCTTAACAGTATATATATATTATATTATTAACATAAAATAAGATCATCGATATACATATACTATTATATTATTATGCATATCAGTTTTGTTAGGTTATTTTTTTATTTACTATAACAATGATTTAAAATAATTAAGGGTTTCTCAAACGCGTAAAGCCGAATTCCACTTCACCGTATCTCGTGGTTCTTAAATACTATTCAATATGTAGGTATCACAATGTTGGTCACAAATTACCTAAAAGTCGAACGCCTATTATGTTCAACTCTGAACCTTGAACGGAAGGCGTAGTGACAACCCGGCTTCACTCTTGCTATTGGAGTCATTAAAATGTTTTACGATATTTTTACGGCATCCATCGAAAATAATTATTGGTGTTTGTATGGGAAATCAAAAATAATAAAACGTAGGCATAGATGTTTTTAATTTTTCTTGAACACAACGCGTCTGGTTCGTCTAAGAGGGGACACGACGATTATCATTGTACTTCCCTCTCCTGCTCTCTTATACCGAGACGGTTTCTCGAAAACTGAACTTTACGGATACGAAGCGTGTTATAAACAGTATTGAATCGAATCGTCGGGTTATTTACAATCGGCACCGTTTTTGACTCGTCGAAATTAAATTCCCCTCCCTGGAATGCGCAACATGAGAGTAAACCCGTTGGCGGTGGAATGCATCGGGCACTTTTTATTATGTATAGGCCGAGCGGCATAGTTTCGGACAACTAAGCGTTTTATTGTTACATCAATCCTACGGCCATGCCGGGGCCTAATGGCGAGGAAAATTATTATAAATCATCGGTTCACCGAAAAAGCACGGTGGTTCGCGGAAGAGCAGTCCCGCACGCGTCCGAGACTTTAAAATAAATCCACTAAACATTTCTGAACGTAAATTCTCACAGCAGATTTATTTTTATTTTTTCACTGTTTCCCGCTTTCCCGCACAATACTATAGCTAAGTTCCATTTAAGCCGTTCGTAGTGATTTATGCGATGAGTATTTTTTCTTTTCTTTTAATATTAACGAGTTACATAATATTCATTTTTTTTATTTTATATATCTTTTTTTATTTATGTACATATTATTATTACGAAAGTTAACTACACTTTTTAATCATTACTCATCGAATCTCGTTCAAAACGAATGAGTTAAAATATAATATTATAATCACGACCGATATTATTTTTCACTAGAAGAATCGGTCGTAATTTAAAATCGAATCGGGTCAATCGTCCGATTGACACGTAAAATATCATTATGTTCAACCGAAAGCGAACGGAACATATGGAAACACATTTCGCTATAAGTAATCTTTAAACTCGATGAACTGTCAAGAAAAAAAAGGTAAAGATATAATTTTATTATTTCGACAGACCCATCCTTTTTAGGGAAATTATAGGTGGGTAAATTTGAGCCAAGTACGCAATATGTAAAAGAGTTTCGTTTTACTAATTTATTGTTTTTTTTTTTTGTAATAATTATGGATTGTCATATTATCATAGTTTATATTCTTTTAATTTTGCGATAGATATTATAATATTAAATTTATTTTCGTGAGGGATAAGAAATACATTAATAAGGTGTGAGTACGCCGTGGACATGTACTTATAAATAAATATAAAAAAAGTAACTATTAAATAGGTATGGTAATTCAAGTCGAATTAAATTTAATCTGATAATAATGATATGAATTGAAAATCTCAATCTTTTTATGCGGAAAAAGTTTTCATGAAAAAGGAAAATAATAAATATAAGCTTGCTTTAAGATTCTGTACAGCATTGTTGTTAAAAACAGATTGTAGTGCCGTTACAACGACTTAAGACTAAAATATTCCATTCGTAAATTAAAAATAATAGTTGCGCTAAAAAAATATTGTTTTATATAATAATTAATCTTTTTCAGAGATCCAAAAGAATTCGGTGAAAACATACTAAATTCTGCTGAAAAAACATAAGTTTACCTCATTAAAAAAAAAAAAATTACAATAATTAGGTACATTAATTGAGATAACTTCACGGATACATACAATTAAGCAGATTATATTTTCAGCAGCGTTGAATTCAAACGGAACTAAATATGGCTCGATCGGTTATTATCTAGTTCAATATTATAAGTTTTATAATTTAATGACGTCGTTTAACTTTAACGGTCCACGACGCACGATATTGCGCCCTTCGATTACCGAACTATAACGATTGGAGAAAACCGTCGAACAGCGGTCGACATTTTCCGAAAGGGTCTATTACAGTGTGAGTGTGTGTGTAATGGTCGATAAATATCAAATTATATTTTTACAACGCTATTTCTACGGTGTGGACTTGCAAACAAGTACGCACAACAAAAATATTACATATTTCACAGCTTTTATATCGATACAATATTAATATTGTTATCGAATTATGTACAAGTAAGACTGACGATAAAGTGTCCTTGAGTATGACCTTTAGTCGTCTACGTCGGCAGACGGACGTCTGGATCGCGGAATGGACGCTTGAAACCGGCCTACGAGTCAGGACCTTCGCCCACGTACCCTTCGTCGGGACTCTCCGTGTTCGCTGGTTGCTTTTGCACGGCGGTGACGGCCTTGTGTTGGCTCGCGTGTTCGGCAGACAAGTGTTGCGGCTGTCGGCCTGCTGCGGGTAATGCGGCAGCGCCGGTCACGAGTGGTGGCGGCGGCGGTGGAGGCATCATCATCATCATGACCATCGTTTCGTCGTCAAGCGTCTGAGCGGATGCGTTCGACAACGATGGTGGTTCGTAAAAAGTGGTAGCGGCCGTCGCATAGTACGTCGCGTCTGCGGCTACTGCAGACGCTGGGTACGGGTACCCCTGCTGGTTGTACCTGACGTTTTGCGGTTCGTACCGGGTCAAGTGGTGCTGATGCTGTTGCTGTTGCTGATGGTGATGGTGGTGGTGATGGTGATGCTGCTGTAAAAGCACGAACTCAGCTTCCTGGCACGACCGGCCTTGCGGCTTGGCCGCGTTTCGGCGGTGTGGAAGCGTTCGGTACAATGACGGCGGCGCAGGCATCGGGTACTGGCCGGACAATAACTTGGGCAGTCCATAATCGGCCGGATACGGTTCTCCGGCGGCTAGCTTGCCTGGTGATAATTGCAATTCGTACGATCCACAGCCACCACCGGACGGATATATGATGGCCGCACCGCTCGCACCGGAAGTTGTCCAAAAGTCTCGGCCACCCGACGGAGGTGGTGGCACGGCTATCTTGTACACTTCGTCACTGGCATCACGGTAGTCACCACCACCGTTATCCCTGATCACGGTGGACGCGTCACTGATCAGATCTGGATTAGCTTCCAGAGTGGTGGTCGTGGTCACCGTGGCCGGATGTCCGGGGGCCACGTGTACCTGCTGGTACGCGTCGTAACCACCACCACCACCCACGTGCAGCACCTCGTGGACTTCGTAACCAGCGGACGATCCCGGGCCAGCTGTGGCGTCATACTCGCCGTACACGCTAACGTCCTCAGCCGACGACAGCTTGCCGTCGATGGTGGACGAAACCGTCAGGTTTACTGAGTCCGATTGTCTGATGTCGGACGTCGTCTTAGTCCCCTGCCCATTGTTGGACGGGTCGTCGGCGCCCGTGTCACCGCCTCCAGCGCCACCGGACTTGCCGCCTGGTCGACCACCGCGTTCCCGTCGCCGACGGCGTTTTGCCACCACCAAGCGGCAACTGATCGCGCAGACCACGGCCACGGCCACGAAGCATACCGAACCAGCCAACACCACAATCAGCAGGGCTGGAGGGGGTGCGTCAGGCGGATACGAACCAGCCGCCACCTCAGACGGATCTTGGACTACGCGCACCGTGAAGTTGCAAGCGGCCCAGCCCGCACGGTTTTCGGCTACGCAAGCGTACGTACCGTTGTCCGCGGGTCCAGCGTCTTCGATGGTCAGCTCAACGCCGGCCGCCGTAGTGCCGTTGGCCACCTGCCGGCCCTCGAACCACCATGAAACTCGCGCTTGCCCGGCCGGCGTCACCCTGCACGCGAGTGTCACGTTCTTTCCGGCGTCCGTCTCCACGTACTCGGGGGACGTGGCCGCCGCCACCGGCGCGCACGCCAGCTCCTCAGCGTCCAGCTTGCGGATGACTGTGCCGCGCAATCTGTCCGGTCCATGGCAAGTCGGCTCGACCGTGTGCGGCGCGCTGTTGTTGTTCAGCCACCGGTGTACGTCTCTCAGCCGGCAGTCACACGTCCACGGGTTGTGGTGCATCTCGATGCCATGAAACGACAGCGGCAGCACTACCGCGCCCGCGCTTTCGATCCGAACGATCTCGTTGTGGTCGAGCCGCAGCCACTCGATGCTCTGTAGGCCGTCAAAAGCGCCCGGCTCGATCGTGGACACTCGACACCGGCTCAGGTCGAGCACCGTCAAGTAGGCGAGCCGCTTGAATGCGGCAGTTCGTACCACAGTCACCGCGTTGCCGCTCAGCACTAGCTTCATCAGTTGCGGGTAGTCGTCGAACGACTTTGTCGGTATATCGGTGATCCCGTTGTCAGACAGGTCCAGCTCGACCAGGTTGGACAGTCCCTGGAACGCGGCGTCGTCCACGTACGTGATCCGACACCGAGCCATGAAGATCTTCTGCAGGTTGGACAGACCGGCCAACATAAACCGGCCCCTCGACAGTGAATCCATCGAATTTCCCGACATGTCAAGTACCTGGGTGCCGGCGTCCATGCCCGCCGGTATGGCTGACAGACTCCGATTGACGCACTCGACCGTCTGCTTGCCACCCTTCCACTTACACATACATCCAAGCGGGCAGCCGGCGACCGCTGCCAACAAAGTGGCCATCACGGCTGCCACGAAAATCATCGTCGTCGTTGTTGAGGTCGTCTTGGGCGTCTTGGTCATCGTTGTGTTTGTAGCGTACATCACGCCGGGCGGCGGTGAATCTTCTGCCCTGTCGCTGACTCTGCCAGCCTGAAAGTCATGGCGATCTCTCTGCTCCAGGCACGATGACTGTTTCTCTATATCTTGCCCGTGTCCTCATGCACCACCCCGTTGTCGATACTACAGCGTCTGCAAAACAAAAGGTATATTATATTATTACCTTAAATCGATTTTCTTTGAAAATGATTTATGATGTGTATTAATTATAATCAAGGAACTATATTAAGTGTTGTTTTTCCCATTTATTCGAAAAGGGATAAGAACACAAGCAAGACTTTGTAATGCTAGTAAAATCCCATTTATAAGAGGTGATATTATGATAGTATGTGTCTGTAACATATTATATATAAGGGTTGAAGTTTGGTCCTTAAAAATAATTCTTATCTTTTAACAATTGTTTGTGTGTGCACACATTTGTAATCATATAAATTATATCCATTAAAGTGTGGACTTTGGGTTTTCGATTCGGTTAATGACAAAGTTTTAATTTCAGTTAACATTCAATTATATTTTGTATATCAGATTGCAGTTTGTCAATCTGTTTTTTAAAGTCAGAGATATTGTTATCAATATATATAAGGAATCTTTCAAAAGTGTCATAGATCCCCTCTACTATTCTCTCTTTGTTTGTAAATAGACATTTTTCAACCCTAAAACACATTTACCTGTTTATCTTATAGATGATATAACAGTTTTTGTAGAAGAAAAATTTCTATTCTGACTATCTAAGAATCAGGATGATCGAAAATTATAATATTTTTTTTTAACTGGGATGAAACCTTTATTCATATATTGAATATTAACAAATGTCAATCAATGGTATTTAATAGAGCTACCAATAACTCAGATTATGTATTATCTCTGTAAAAACAGTATTAATATAATATGTGATCTTGGGTTAACTTTCATTTCGTTTCTTTGTCAATATGCTTACATTGAAAACGCTATTTAGAGAGCTCTTGATGTATTTTGTTTCATCAGAAGAGTTTTTGGTTAGTTCAATCTTTCTGAAATGTATTTAGTGTTATTTGTTAAATAAACTGCTGTAAGTGGGTAAGTTGTATGGGATCCTCGACAGCTAAAGCTAGTCAAAACTAACGGGTTCAATGAAAGTTTTTATACTTAACTGAATATATATTAAATATATGTTTTCTTCCTCATGATAGTTCTAACATATGCAGCATTACCTATCTATCTAATGATGGTAAGTCATTATTGCGAATTATATATTCTTATTAACTGAAGTGTATTAAATTATTTTTTCGTCTTTTCTTTTATGTTATATTTCGTTACCTCATAATACCCACTTTGTGTTGGGAATCTGTCCGTTTTTTTATTATAAATAAATAAAAGTAAAATAAAAAATATGCAATTCGTTGTTAGGGATATTATGCAGTTTATTATTATTTTTTATTTAACAACTATTGCTCTAGAATGACTCGTGGGTATATAGGTACTACAAGAGATGAATACATCAAAAGAAGAAGCTAGAGGGTTTGATGGTTCAGTCAAGGTTATACTTATAGTTCTCGTTATGTATCTAAGAGTAGCACGAGGAAATAAAGTATATAGAAAAGAAATACTGATTTAAAGTGTGTTATTATTAAAGACAGAACTGTGTACTGTAAAGTAAGTACAAGTTACTTCATTCTTACAGTATAAAGTGTCAATAAAAAATGTCTGAAGTTGAAAAAAAATATAATTTTAAAACTAACGAGACACAATGAAATAATGACTAGTTGATGTATCATATACATGCATATAACTTTTTAATGGTTTTAATTGAATGTGATATAACATATATTATTTAAAACAAAATACCAGTCATTGATATGATGGAGGAAAAATGACTTAGAGATATTGTTTATTTATTGATGTTATAGTCAAGTGAACGTATAAAAGGAAATATATTTTTCACAACCAATAAATTAGATGAAATAGTTATAAAGATAAAACATAGTTTTATCGCAGGTAAATAAAAATTGAAGTTGATAAAAGAGTCTTAGTAAAGTAGTTATTGTCAAAAATACCAGATACTATGTAAGCACAGAAATGGTTTACAATAAATTGATTCCGATTTATCAAATCTTCCACACATGAAAAGATGCCTACTACTTAAACATACGTTTTATTATTAAACTAAAATAGAAAAAATAGAAAAAAATCAGAAATATCGCAAGTACGAAAAAAGTATGTAAATATTATTTTATAAAAGTATGTTAAGATTAGGTATCAATCAATTAAAAAAAAAAAAAAATTATGGGGCCCGATCGAAAAATTTACAAAACACATCTCTACCACGTATGACATGAAATAGTACCTATGCTATACATTTATGGTAAATAATTTTTTTTTGATTACGACTGTGATGCTGTTCGAATGAGAGCAGTGTGTCGAAATGCATGTAGGACAACGTATATTATACTAATTATTCTTCATACCGTATTTAATTATATTAATATTACATTATATTATATACAACTTCTCTCGCAGAGTGGCCCTTCATCCGTTTAATATTATATTACCATACCACACCACATGGTCGATTTCACGAGACGCTGATTTTTAATAATTTTGGAAGTAACTAGTAAACTAGATGCTTTTCTGTCGCGTGATCTGCGCAAACGAATTATTTTTGGAAAACGTTATGTAATACTACAAATAAATACATAATACATTTCATGAACTAAATAAAAATCCAAAATATGTGTGTGTGTATAAAGGGAATTCAACATATCACCGACGTTCCGCTGTGCCGGAATTCCAATGATTCGATCTAAATTTGAATACGATGGCTGTAAAATGGATACAATTTTGAGGAAACTGGGTATAGATTTGGTTTTCATATTTTTTAAACTCTACCGACAATAGTATAATTTAAACGATTTTGCTGTACGCGGAGAGTAAAAAAAAAAAACTATTTACTCTGAATTATTCCCACATTCGGACATAATATTATTGCCCTTCGAATACTTAGCCCCTTAGGCCTTTCCAGTTTTCTCCCTCATTTCACGCACCGCAAAAACGTAGGCTGATTTTTGTCTTCGCATCGGTTGAACATATTATTTTGTTTTATCTACGAATACGCGAACGACGCACGAGTGGTTTCCCGTGTCCATCCCTCCTCCTCTACTACCACCTATTTTACGGAATGTCATTCGTATAAATGGTTTTCAGTTGGATTTCAATAGAATAAAAATCATTTCGCCAGCAACTGCGTGTATACACATTACACGCATGTATAAACCTGCGGGTAATAACAATTCGTCGCTCCTCGCGTTGATATTATTTTTGTTGTTTTTACTGTGCAGAGCTTCAGATGGAATGTTATGAACGGAAAATTCAATTATTATAATAATAATAATGACGATATGTATTCTTGTTCAGTTGTTTATTACACACATATATATATGTGTACAACACATTACACTTGTTATTTTTATGTTACCTTTGTTTACTTGTGCGCAGCTGACGAACCTATAGTTAGGAGTACGAATGCGAATACGGAATACGATAACCTAACCTACGTGTGGTATGTTATGTATGATTTGGTGATAATGACCCTACTCGCAGACTTACTGTAGTATATACTGTATAGTCATCAATTTGAAAATAAAACTCTTCAATAGAACGTATGACGATTTAAGATCACTGGCTAAGCCAAGTCACATGGCCCTTAAACAAAATATGTATTTTAGGACCAGTGTACCAATCATTGCTATTTTGCGGTCTATACTATACTAATCACCGAGTGGCTGGTTAAATATTGGTTGTTTTCGGAAAAAAAAGAGTTTTACATTTCAAATTTCAATAGCTGAAGACAAGAATAGACAGAATCAGCATTCGGAGCCAATATTCTTTATTAGTATCGGGACTATTATGAAACGTCACCCTAGCCAACATACGCAATATATACATTTGAATAATACATAATACGGGTATAATATGGCTATATACAATCAGAATCAAGTTTTAATTTTCGAGAATTGTTTATCGTCCTAATCGGTTCGATACATTGCACGATACTGTATAATAATTTATATATATATATTATAAGGTATGTAACAATCATGATACTATTAGATATTTTAATACATGGGTACAATATTGTCATTTATTATTATTAGATTTATAATATACTTATGTTAATTATTTTGTATGTTTTTATTTATTTTAAGTAAGGTAACTAATGTTGAGTAGGTACTGAATATGCTAAATGTCTAAATATTATTTTTTACATATTTTAAATTTGAATGACCAACGGCTATTATCAAATGCAATTTGTGTAGCAATGCATTAACGTATTGGCATATGAAAATGTCGTTTAAGCGAGATTGGTGAACTACCACTATACTACTTTTATGAGCTTATGTTTACTAAACGAAGCTTTTCTAATTGTTAAAGAGTGAAATATAATTTTTTTCAATTAAGTAGATTGGACACATGTAGGTACCTAATATTGTTAAAAATCTAAATATAGTTATGGTTTTAATTTTAGTTTATACTTCATGAGACGGTAATGAGTGACAACCTAGTGGTCCAATGATATATAAATCTAAAAATTTGCTTATTTCAGAAACAAATAAAATTAAAAAATGGATAGAGCGTTTAAAATAACAATACAAAAGAAGGGTCTGTGATATTATTATCTTCACTTCGTTTCTTAAAATGTCATTGATATTTCATTAAAAAGTAATGAAATAACATCATAGGATATTAAAAACAGAATGTTAATTATTATTAATAACTAGTATAGTGTAAGAATGAAGAAAAATTCTGGTACAATTGTTCTGAAAACCACACTATTCAACTAGTACCTTAGGGCTTAGATAATAAATAGACCCACGTGGTTGAAAACTTTTTAAAGATTTTCAGTGCTTCAAAAAATAAAATTTGTATTAAAGCTTAGCATAAACTATAAAGCCACAATTAATGTTTTCTGGGCTTTTGAAGTCAAAATTATTTATCGGATATTAAAAAGTCTAGTATCGATTTAGTTGTAATATTTTTTTTCAAGAAGTTAGTTCAACCCACCTTAATTATACTGTAATGGTAATATCAACAAAAACAACACGCCGTCTCCACTCAGAATCGTTGTCTGTGTGTTATGATTAGAATGTATAAAAATA